CAGATGATATAGAATGAAAAGGTCCATTACAATATGAAGATATATCTGGACCTTAGGACTGCAGAGACAACCCTGTAAATGTGATATAACCTGAAGTGTCATCTCTAAGATAATCAAAGATACTGTAGCTGGTTTTTCATTATTAATCTCAATGATGTGTTAACTCTGAAGTCCAATGGTGCCACTTCAGTGAACAGATTTTCAGGTAACCAAGAGCACATAGTCGTATGACCGATTTGTGTACTCAGCTACACTGATTGTTTTAGCAATTCTGGCATTGCATCTGCAGAGAAGAAATAAGTGAAGAACAGAAAGGGAAAAAATTCTGAAAAGCATCTTGTAACATTTCCCCACAACTGAATAAAGCTGAATGCAACAAAAACTTTACCAACTACAACATTATTATATAAGGGTCATACTCTTGCTCCTTGATCTTTGCACAAATCTCCAGTGTTTATTGATGATTTTATTCTCACAGTACCTCTGTATCCAGGAATAAGAGGATGAAATGTAGCACCTGTTAGTCCCTTGTGGCTTTAAATTCTTTTAATTTAGGAATCTGTGGGAGACCCTTTGTAGATCAGGGACATAGGATATCCCTAACTCTGTAGCCTTGGTTTACAAGTCATGAGCACAAATTTAATTTGGGCCTCGAGGTAACACATTTGGCATGTCTATGCTGAAAGACCTCCCTCAACCTACGCTGTCCTAGAAAAGACAATTTGAACCATCTGTGTCTGTAAATATTTAGTTGGAAAATGTAGACTTCCTGGGAACAAATAGAAGCACAGACTTCAGATGTTTCTCTCTCTCTCTCTGAAGAGCCTGTGTCCTATCCGCTATCCCCCAGGATCCCATAGCACAAAGGTGTGTCCCTCCCCATCCTTTACCCACTGTGAAAATATTTTTACTTGGTGAAACATTAGATGAAATCATCACAATGAGATTTCCATCAGCCATTTCTAGCCAATAATTGGTGTCTGAACATTTTTACTAAGAGATCAATAGCTCTAAAATTGTTCTCCAGGATGGAGTGGGATAAGGTGACAAGCTCCTAGAGAGGAGATTACTTCCCTTGACAGCCGTATTACTACCCTTCTGCTAAGTACTGTCTCAGGAACACACTGAATTGTCCTAAAGAGGTCTCTTAGAAGTTATTGTGAGAAGGTTAATGGGAAAACAGAGGAATGGACTAAAGAAGCCTAAAATAATAGTTCAAAATCGATTTTATAAGTACAGATGACAGGTAAGCTGGAAACTCACAGCTACATTAAAGAATCAAGTCTTTCAGTGATCTGAGCACAAGTGGTAGTCATCTCTCCTAGCTAATCTGAAGAGAAGAAAAATATCAAACAAATAAAAAAAAAAAAGGTCAAAATATTTAAAGAGTGAGGGTGGTGTGAGGGGAGTGATAAGCTTGGTAGATACCTGTGGGAGAGAAAATAGGAGTCCAAACTCATTGAAGGCTACATTTTTAATGGGGGTTATGTGAGGTAGCCCCATCTTAACCATTTACTTTGAAAACATCTCTTTCGTTGTCAAACTATGAGACAGATTTTAGGGAGGTAATGGGAGTGGATAGGAGTAAGGGAATCTACTCAAGACACTTAATGTCCAGCAGATGCACCTATCAACTTATTAACAGAAGCAGGAAATGTTTTGCTTTATTCACATAATTGTAGGCAACAGTCTGTCCTGCCATGCATCACTTCAACTAGGTTCTCCTCACATTCTGTGATAACAAATAGAGGTAAGTTTAAAACAATCAGCTTGGATTTATTAATAAAAATAATGAGGTTGAGTATTAAACATGTAAAGGTGTCTAAGAATGATATTTCAGCAGATAATAATTCCTCACCATACGATCCATCTTATCCTTGAACTCCCCACACCCACCAAAATTATAAAAAGAACTAGACAGCCCTAAACTAGTGTTGACAAGATTTCATTGTTGTAAAGAAAAGCAGCAGCAAGTAGAGTATATACATTCCAACACCAGAAACCTCAAAAGTAGACATTTTTTTTTAAATCTCAGATTTTCCCCACCTTAGTTTACAAAAGAAGCATTAAAAATGGCATTAGAATACCTTTGAACTTGTGAAAGACGGCCCATAGTTCAGCAATGTCAGTGGCAAAGGTTATGTCTGTGTCGAGGACAATGACTCGCTCGAGATTGGAAGGGAGAGTCTTTGTGAGAACCAGCTTCATCAACCCATAAATCCCAGAGTAGTGTTTGTTGGGGATCCAGGATACTTCCGACTAACGGGAAAAAAAGGAGTGGGGAAAGGAAGAAAAGGGGGGAAAACAAGCTTCATTAGCAACATGTTGTTTTATAGATACAGGTTTTCACAATTTTCCTGATGCTAGTTCTCGCAATGGGGAAAGAACTACTAATGGGGGCCAGCAATAATAGGACCATACAGAGCGAGTCCTGGGCAGGCATCTGAAATGCTGGTTTTAAGCCGACCTCGGACACATATTTATTTTCTAAAAGCTTGATTCAAGAAGTTATTTGAGATGCAGCTTCACTAAATATAATTAAAATTAAACCAGCCTTTCCAACCTTATTGAATCCTTTTATGAGAAAATGTGTGTCTTGGTAAAATTAAAATACATGTTTAATCTAAAAACCCATGTGTATTTTATATTGCTTTCATTTGCAGTCCAAAGCAAAACAATTCTGTTTGCCATTCCCAGAAACTACCAACCCTGAGAAGACAGAAAAAATAAATGCTTTTCCCTTCTTTTATATTTAGTGGACTTCTGATGGTTATAGCAGGTCAACATTTCAAAATATTGGTCACTTGGAAAAACTGGACAAGAAACTGGTACAACCCTTTCCTTCGAAAGAAGATGAAGGCCTTCCCACCAAATGCCATTTCTCTATAGTTCTTACCACTGCTAACAGCTATTACGTGGCACCATATAGAAGTATCAAATATGAGTGGAGGGGACAAGGGAATTTCAAAAATTTCCAACAAAAATTTGAAACTTTTTGACCAAAAAATGCCACATAATTCAAAACCTTTCACCCCCCCCCCCCCAAAGTATCTAACATGATGTGGAAACCTAAATGCCTAGCTCTAGTCTTGTTTATACTTAACATTTTAGTCAAACTAATTACATCACATGGAGTGGAGCGTGAAAAAAAATCAATCCCAGAACACCATAGTTAAATTGACTTAAGCACTGGTGTAGATGTGGCTAGTAGATAGAAAAATTCTTCTGTCAATCAGCTAGCTACCACCTTTTGAAGAGGTACATTACCTACATTGCCAGAAAAATTCTTACCATCATTGTAGGAAGCATCGACACCTCTGTAGCTAACTACTATAGCAGGGATGGGCAATAATTTTTTTCTGGGGGCACTTCAGAAATTTTTGAAGTGGCCCCGGGTTGCATAGGAAGGAGCGGGATAGCAAGCAGAAGGGGCAGGGCCAAGATACTTCCGGATTCCCCACCCCTAGACAATGATTAGCCTGGGGGTGAGGGAATGCCTTTGCCCCCCACGTTCCCCCTAGGTGCCCATGGCCCTAGCATGGGAGGAGACTTCCCAGGCTCCCCTGCCCCTAGGCCAAATAGGGTCTGGGGGTGGGGGAGCACGCAAAGCCTCCTCCCACTCTCCCCCAGCCCTGTGAGCAGCGCTCTGTGCTTCAAAGCATCATGTACTCCTGGCAGGGAGGGAGGAGGCCTGGGGTCAGGGAAGCAGCAGGGCCTCCACGGGCCAGATCCACCCTTTACTATAGTGATTATAGGGTAGACATAATCTGAAAGAGCTGACTAACGTTCGATAAGACTTAGGTTTCTAAATACCAAAAGTCACCTCTGAAAATGGGACTTGTCTCCTAAGTCTTTGGTGCTTTTGAAAATTTTACCTTAGTCTCATGTTCCTCCTGTCTAATGTCTCAAAGAGCATTCACTACGTCCTTACTCAGTTTTCAGTCAAGCACGGCTTCCATTGCTTCAGTTATAAAGTTGACTCTGGGAGGTCTAGGTGTGGATGGACTTCAAGGATTTGCCAGGATGCTGAGTGCTGAAGAAGTTAGTATCAGGCAGGCATGTATAAAGCTCTCCAAATTCTAACAGTGAGCAGGATTGCCTCAGATCACTTCATTAGCATGTCTGAATTACTCAGACTTTTTTTGCACCAAAGAGCCTATTTTTTTTAACCTCCAAAAAAAACGTTTCCATAAAAAAAAAAACATGACTTGGAATTTGGATGAGTGGGAGAGGAAAGCCTAGGATTAGCATCTTAGGCTGAACTATTCTAATGCACTTCTTCTACTATACATTACAAGTTTGATTTATACTATAATTAGGGCTCTGCTGATATAAGATAACCTGCTCCATTCCTTTTAAAACAGGGCACAGCTTTTCATCTATATTCTATCAGTTTTCAGCACCAGAGGCAGACCTTTACACCCCTGTGTAGTTCATTAGACAGATGGCACATACTGAAGCAACCTGCCCCATTAAAATTTTAGGGAGTAAGGTAGGAAAAATCATCATATGGTCTCAAAACAAGTCCCAAAGTGAGAAAAATTTGAACAGTAGTAAATGAAAATTAAGATTTTTTTTCTGAAGGGACCTCAACCTAGCTTCTATTTATATGCATGAAACTTTACATGTGCAATCACTTGCATATGCACTATTTTAGCACTTTCACTTGCACACAAATGCAACCACAATACACAAAACATATTTGCTCTCACAAATAGGATTTGCACATTTATTCACTAGGGCTACGTCTACACTGGCACCCTTTTCCGGAAATGCTTAAAACGGAACAGTTTTTCCCGCTATAAGTATTTCCGGAAAAGCACGTCTACATTGGCAGGATGCTTTTCCGGAAAAGGACTTTTGTCCGAATGGGAGCAGCATAGTTTTTCCGGAAAAACAATGATGATTTTACATTAGATCATCATTGCTTTTCTGGAAAAGCAAGCGGCCAGTGTAGACAGCTCGCAGCTTATTCCGGAAAAGCGGCTGCTTTTCCAGAATAAGTGGCCCAGTGTAGACACAGCCTAGAATTTGCACATGCAAGTGAGAGTACACAAACTCAGCAACCGATTCTGATCTCACTCACATAAATCATCGTAAGAGAAATTAGAATAAGAACCTTCATGAGCAAGTCACTACAGATACACAAACACAGATAATGTTCTAAGAAACCCTGGCTTTAACAGTTCTCTTCTTTGCCTTATCACTTCTCTCTTCCCATTGTCATAGTGTGCAGTATCAAGCTATGGCGCTTAGTAGACATATCTAGCTTGTTTATTACCTAGATATGCACAGTGGGTAATTCCGTAGGTATACAGGCAGTCCCCGGGTTACGTACAAGATAGGGACTGTAGGTTTGTTCTTAAGTTGAATCTGTATGTAAGTCGGAACTGGCGTCCAAATTCAGCAACTGACCGCCAGTTCTGACTTACATACAGAATCAACTTAAGAACCCCAGGTGTCCCCAAGTCAGCTGCTGCTGAAACTGATCAGCAGCTGATTCCAGGAAGCCCGGGGCAGAGCAACTCTGCCTCGGGCTTCCTGTAGTCAGTGCTGGTCAGTTTCAGCAGCGGCTGACTTGAGGATGCCTGGGGCAGAGCAGCGTGGGTGCTGCTGGGTTGCTCCAGTAGCGCCGCTCCTCGGCGCTACTAGACCACCCCAGCAGCACTCAAGCTGCTCTGACCCAGGCGTCCTGAT